GAGTGAGAGTGAGAGTGAGAGTGAGAGTGAGTGAGTGAGAGTGAGAGTGAGAGTGAGAGTGAGTGAGTGAGTGTGGGTGAGAGTGAGAGTGAGAGTGAGAGTGAGAGTGAGAGTGAGAGTGAGTGTGGGTGAGAGGGAGAGCATCTGAGAGCACAAAGCGCTGCGCCTGCCACGAAATCTGCACTTCGAGGCTGCGCCTGCCACGAAATGTGCACTTCGAGCTTCAAAGTGCTGTAAATCTGCACTTCGAGGTTCAGAGGTTCACAAAGTGCTGCGCCTGCCACGAAATCTTGACTTTGAGGTTCACAAAGTGCTGTGCCTGCCACGAAATCTGCACTTCGATGTTCAGCAAATGCGCCTGCCACGAAATCTGCACCTTGAGGTTCACAAAGTGCTGCGCCTGCCACGAAATCTGCGCGTCAAGGCCCACGAAGTACTGCGCATGCCACGAAATCTACAAACGAGCCACATGTCCAAAAGTCACGATTCACTGCACCTGTCACGTAATCAGAGCGCCTCAAAGATCACGACCACGTCCAAAGTACTGCACCTGCCACGAAATCACGAAATCTGCGCTAACCGCTCAGATCCCTTGCACCTGGCACGAAAAGCGCGAAAAGTCGACTTGAGACCAAAACACGAGTTTTCCCTCGCGCCTGCCACGAAAAGTGACCACCATGTGTGAAAATGCGCACGGCACTGCAACGAGAGGACAGTCGTTGGAAGCACCCGCCGCAGACACCCAGATTCTGCGAGCCTGCGCAGCCGAAATGCATGTGGATGATCTTGAGGGGCATGAATGCACTGTAAATAGCAGCGGATTAGCCGGACACGCCCGCGTGACACAGCGATCTAAGCACAGCTGCTTTTCCATTGCTGTGTCCACACTGCTTGGGGAATTTATATTTGCACCTTGGCTCGCCGTGCCGTTTTCTGGTTTCAACGTCAACGCTTCTCGACGAATGGGCGGCAAAGTTTTGTGTATTTCAACAACGGCCGACCAAAACATTTTTTTGTTTCAGGAAAAACCCCCACGCCTAGACAATCACAACCAAAAGCCCGATCTAGAAAAGTGCTTTTGTCAATATTCTTTCTAGCTTGTGTATCCGGACTGCCATTCAAACCGAAAGCCTGTCAGCCTGTCACAACTCACGATGTTGCGGCACGTCGTGCCTCTGAAGCCGGAGCTTCGGCGGCTGAAGGGGCCGCAGGCCTTCGGGGAAGCGCCCAAAAGCGAATCGAGGAAGGCCCGGTCAAAAGCAACCGTCCTGACCACAACAAAGCAAAGAGAAGAATGTTTGTAAAAGCTTCCCATTCCATCTAAATCACGGTTGAGAGCCGCGCGGTGTTGCCGCGTGCCCACGCCCTCAACTCCTGCAAGGCAGATTTGACAGAAACGAATCCAACTAGGGGAACTGCTTCTAAACCTGTCCTTGTTGGACCGGAAGTTTGGGCGGTAGGAATGGACGCCCCGGGACCAAGTTTGCTTTCCAAGCTTTGGAAAGCGGCGCAGACCACTGGGCGCCAAACGTTCCCACCAGAAGTCCAGGTGGCCAAACTTGGTGGCCGCTGCCCAAAGCTTGGCTCCGTCGATCCTGCAACAAAACGAAAAGCTTTAGTCGCAAATTTGTGGACACCCCCCCTGAGGGCCACACCGGTGGGGTTGTTCTTTGCGAGGCCGTGGCGGCCGTGGCGGCGCATGAAACGCGCGTCCGGCGCCTGACAAAGCCGATTGTCAAACGCAACCGGGCCGGCCCTCGCCAGAGGCCCGGGCCGTTCTGGCGGTCGTCGGTTGCGGCAGGGCCTCAGGCATCATGTCTGACAAGGTGAAGGGCGTTGAAAGAAGTTTGTGTCTGTGGCGCCCGACTGCTTCGAAGCCACCTTTCTGCTTGGGGGTCGATGTGTTGGGCGGGAAGGACCAAGTTGTCCATGGCCGGTCCTGCCAAAAGGATTCGGTAAGCAGAAATCAAAAAACAGCCCTCAAAGCCGGCAACACCAACTCCTGACATCGCCCTCTCTTCTTTCCACGTCGCCCTGTCTTCTTTTTCTGAGTGGGCTTCTTCCGCGCCTGGCACAATCAAGCTCTGGATTGGCGCAAACAAAATTGCCTCCTAGCACCTGCCTAGTAGTACGCTGTGTGCGCCCACGGTGGGATCACCTGGATTGAGACGAAACTGCAAGCAACTGAACAGCATGTGGCCAACTGTTATTGACTGAGGCCGCAACCCGTGCCCACTGCTTTTTCGGCTTCTTCTTCAACTTATGTCCAATGCCCGGGACCTTCCGCAACCAAGCCAAATCTAAATGAAAAGCCCAATAAATCAACTAGAAACACAAATGTGCCTCGACGCCGGATTGTAGCCAATCCAACGTGGCCTGCAGTCGAGTAACGTAGATTCTATAGATGGCTCTTCAAATCGGTTGTTGTTTTCATAATGCCCAAACAGGACTGAACCAGTCGACTTCGACGAATTCGAGGCCTCAAAAAATCTCTGGGTTCCTGTGGTCTATTCTTTGTATTTTGGTTGCGGTCACTGGAATCCCCTCTATACTACCGCGGACTACCGCTGGTACCTGTGTGGGTCGTTGATCATGGCTCTTCAACTCCTCCAACCGTGTTGGATGTAAACCTGCCCAACAAACGATAGAAACCATGTTGGTGGTTCCAAGTTCTAAGGAACAGAAAAGGTCGGACGGGAAGCTGTCAGACTGCGTTCTTCTTCGACTTCCCAGACGCGAACGTGAACGACGGCCCTGTCCTCCCTCAACCGGGATGGGTGAAAGGAGGACATCCACGGCTCCTAAAGATCAACCGAGGCCAATACTTCATGGGGCCGCCGGCTGATTCGGATGTTAGAACTTGTATCAGGTCGGATGGATTTCACTGAAAACCTCCCCAGCATTTGACTTCAACATCACACCCTGCCTTGAGAATGATCAGCCAGCGAGGACCTTCTCTTTCACACGTCGCACGTCCTACAAGGCGAATGCAAGCGGAGCCTTTGAAGCTTCAAAAGCCATGGGCTTTAAGGCTTCAAGCGTCTGGATTCTGCATCCTTCTACACCAGTCCTCATAGCCAACAAGCCCATTTACATAGACATAGATGAGCCGATCGTTTCATGGGTTCTCCATCCTTGTCTTGTCCTGGACATATGTCTCTATGGCCAACCAAACTACATCCTTGTCCTGTACACTTGTCTTTATAGCAAACGGAAAGAACCTAGATGAGCCAGTTATTTCTTGGGTGGTTCTCCTCCCAACAACACTATACTAGCACTAGCCGGTGAACCCTTCACTCCTTTCAGGGTCTAGGTCTAGGAAGCGACTGACGACCTCCAAGACCGACTCCAAACCGATCCCAAGAGGCTTCCGAGCGACGCCTCCACCGCTTTCGGTGTCCGCGGTGCGCGCCCCGCGGTTCGGTGGTGGACACCGGCCGTCCTCGGGGAACGACCCGGGGTCGTTCCTAGAGTTCCTAGAGGTTTTGTCGGGCGTCCCTCGGGGAACGACACATCCCAAACCACGTGTGGAAGACGGTGGGTAGACGTCTGAGTAAACCATCTAAAACCCCACTGCGTTTGGGGCTACCCTCCCACTCTTCCAAACCATCCCCAAACATCCCACACGACTCCTCAACCCGTCCGGTCTCCGCATGAAAAGCACATCCAACTCGGTCCTCCTGAAAGCTATCGGCGTGCTTCGCCAGGGTGTTCATGGCCTTCCTCCGAGCTTTGTGGTACTTCTCTAACTTCCTGGGCGGTGCGAAGACAAGCCTGATCACCAAGGAACAGGGCCACGTTGAGATCTCCCCTCAACAGCATTCCAGTTGATCGTGAAGATTCATTTCGACTGTTTCGCCCCCGCAGGATCACTGTGTGAACGGCCTGGCACCCAGGCTGCGGCTGCGGTGAACATCCCACGAAGACTACAAATTCTGCTCACGGTTTTGTTGACTGCGGGTATGGTTTCCAAAAACATCCCCGGTTTCCGAGACCCACATGGAACCTGAAAAACCAGGTTGGTCTTCGGAAAAAAAAAGGCGCTTTCCGAAGATCCAGACCATCAGGTTCCATGTGGATCTTCCTGGGTGTTCTTTTTCCAGCTCGGGAGCACCTGCACATTCCGTGGCCGTGTTCTTTATCCTCCGTCTCCACGGACGTCAAGGTCTTGGGGTCGCCCCACTGAGTAGGTGAAGAATCCCTTTGTGAAGCATCCGGAGGAGCCGATCAGTTGCCCAACTGCCCAACACAATAGTCTGCTCTCATCTGCATAGCAGACTTGCCCAACTGTCCAACATGATTCGGATAGAATGACATCACCCAGCCGCGCTTAAAAACACTTTAAAAAAACGAGGCTTGACCATGGCTCTTGTGTTGCTCCATGATGAGGTCCACCAGTTGCTCCACTCGACTTTCCAGCTGGGCATCCAGACGCCTGGCCATCAGCTGGCAACGTCTGGTCAATTCACAGGTCCAGGTCATACCAGGACCCTCCAAGGGGGTGCCCAATGGAAGCCTATAGGTAGTGTGGGGTAGGTCATTGGACACCCCGACAGGAGGGTCCAGGTATTGTTTGATGATGTCCTTTTGGGAACACGACGACAAAGGGCTCCGGTGCTATTGATCCCAGGACCAGGTCCCACGGCTCGACGGCTCATGCCCCGCCCCGTGCGTGCGGCCACGAGCGACCTGGTCAACAGGAAACGCTTGTTGTTTCGGGTGCTGGTGTTTGGGTATAGTCTATAGTTACACTCCCGAAAACTAACATGGAAGAGGGTTTTCCTCTACCAACCAGTGATTTTCAGGGTCCATGTTAGTCTTCTGTGTATGTATCGTTTCTTCTGGTCTAGGATCTTTGACGTGCTTGACGATCACCCGATGATCCCGATGCCGAAACCATCGTCCTAAACCGTCCTCAACCGTCCCCGTCCTACCCGGGTTTCAGGTGGTACTTGTCAGTGCCCGTCACCCCTTTCGTTCGTTTCCACTCCATCTCCGCATCTCCGCTTTCATCTCCAAACCGCCCGAACGGCGGAAGGTTTCCCGAACGGCGGAAGGTTTCTTCGCTCGCGTGTTGGGGTGTGGCGCCCCTGCACGTGTGGCGCCTGGAGCTGAACCACCAGTCCCTTCGGGCGTCGAGGATCTCTTCCAGCCGCACCAGCTCCGCCTGACCGGAGGAGGTCGGCAGGACGGACGGAGGAGTCGGCAGCAGACGGGAGGAGTTGGTCAAACGGACGGTTCTTGGAGAAGCGAATCGTTTGGAGTACAGCAACTCGAGCCTTCCAAGACCAAAAGAAGGGTTGAGCTGGTTCTGTGGTGTAATACCCTTAGTAAAACCATGGTTGTTCGAGATTCCTTCAGCCTTCAATCAATGGTGAGCCAGGAATCCATGAAAATCCGTTTTCGATTTTGCACCCCCAAAACCATGGCAGAACCGCCAAAGCTTCCAGCAAAAAGCTGGTCGAACTCCCTCATGCCACCAGAGCTGCCTCGTAGAGGTCCACCGTCTTCTGCTCTCGTGCCACGTCCTGGCAGGGCGGCTGAGCGAGAGAGGACGTCGAAGTCGTGGAAAAAGCGTCTGAGTCCTGTGTGGATTTCGTCCATGTTCGTACTCTCTTGGCTTTGATAGGTCATCCCTTGGTGTTAGAACTGGTGAGTCGAGTTTCGGCATTTCTGATAAAGGAAGAAGACCCTACAAGAGACAGATGCAATTGTTCGCAGTGCAGTAGCTGCTCCAGCGAAACCAAAACAATCGTTCATTGGGGGTGTTGACTCGCGACATCTGTCGGGTTGAAATTAAAAGAGCGAGAAAAGAAACTCAGAGTTCGAGAGAATATCACGTCTGCAGGTTTTTGCTTCACCTAGCAGTTGGTGCTGCAGGAGAGTTTGGGTACTTGCAAAAAGGAGAAGCAGAAGCACTAGACTTACTAAACCTTGTTGGCAGTGGAGGAACCACCGATTAGCTTAGTGTCTTCAGACAACCTGGTTGCAACTGTTGACATGTTTGTTTGCCATGTTTGCAGTAGGGCCATCAGAAGCCAAAGGTAAAGAGCAAGCATAATTGTTCAACAAGCGTAAAAACAACGGAACCCCCAAGGTGTTCCACCTTCCACACCGTCCACATCTCTCCTCTTTCGCCACTTCCTAGGCGGGCACCGTTGGATCTCGTTTTGAGCGGGAAGGGGAGGCGCTTCTGGAAGGCGCGTGGCTAGTCTTCTGAAAGACAGTGGTGGGAGGACAAAGAAACCTAGGAGTTTGGAGAGTGGATTCATGTACAGTAGATCTTTCCAAGTTCCAATCACGAGGTCACAAGGTTGCTGTGTGAGACTGGGGAAAAGGTCACTTCTATAGGGTCTCAGCCTCAGTCTGAACATGGAGACCCATCTACATCATCTACTTGTTGGAGCCATGAGCTCACTTTTGGGGCTGGTTTGAGACTCCTAACACAATACGACCACTTTGTACAGAAAAGTCAAGTTGCTGAGCCACCTGGGATATACCACCTATTTTCGTGGGCCCGGTCCCCCTTTTCTTGCAGGGTGGCAGCACTGAAGAGTGAACTAACTATGAGGGTACATACGCAGTGTCAACGCCTTGTCACATCCGGAACACCAAGAGCCGCTGTGTCAAAAGGAAAAAAATTGTTGAGAACCCATTGGTTGAAAGCCCGATCTAGGAAGTATGGGTCTCAGATCTACACGTCCAAATCACCTGGTACATGAATATCCCTTGAATATCCTCTGTTCGACTACCCTGCCACTCCCTCTTTCGAAACATCGGGCTATTTCAATCTCACATACTGATCCCCTCCAAGTAAACCTACAATCACCAAAAACTCTAACCTTCTCCTCCCTCCCACAAGTTCACAAGTACGGCTCTTTAAATCACCTACTGCTCCATTTGTTCTTAACCAACCTCCCACCCCATCCCCAACACCAAACTCCACCAGGTCTCCAGGTCCAGCACGGCGCCCAAGCCTTCGTTCTGCACCAGGCGCCGGAAGACCTCCGCGTACAAGGGACTCCCGGCCTCCACGTCGTAGCGGAGCGCCTCAGGAGCTGCGAGTCGCTGCGAGCTGCTGCGAGCTGCTGCTGCTGGTGAAGTGGATGGGTGGATGGTATGGTTCCATGGATGACCAGTTTCCATTCAGCTGGATGACTCCCTGTAACCATCCACGACTTGCCTTTGCGGCTCCCAGGAACTTTTGCTCTAGACATTCGCCGAAGACAGTTCGTCCGCGGCGATCGAATGCAGGAACCGGGCAAAAAAGGTACAAACATATATTTCCCCATGCGAACCCTAGTCATCCCACTCGAAAATACATCGTCACCCTGATGATTCCGCACAACATCAGGTCCTTGGGTTTGTTCAGTGGATGGTACGAGTATATGGCATGGACCCGAGAAGTCGGAGAGGACCGATGTTCAATCCCGAAGACGACCAGGTTTTCACTCACTCCACGTCACCGGTAGTGGCTTCAGGGAGCGTACTCCTCACGCCCATGCTCGTGAATCCACAGCGCTAAGGTTATTTGGGGTGGTTGGCAGCATCTGCTGATGAGGGTGATGTTCCCTGAGCCACTTCCACCACTTCACTTCCGTCACAAACCCACAAACCACACACACAACGCACACACACTACCCGCACTAATATAACATCTCATAACGTCACCCCCTCATCATGCTCACCACGGATTCCGTGTACGACGCGCCCGCGGTGGTCAAGGAAGGGGCCGATTCGCTCTCGGACTTCCGCGGGTTCACCGCGATCAAGTTGGACTCCTCCGGGTCGAAGAGGAGACCGCGGGTTCGGACGGGCGGGGTCCGGTGGGGTTCGGTGAGTCGGAGGTCGGAGTGGTGTCGAGATAGAAAGCTGGGGGTGGGAAAAAGGCACGAACACCTGGTTGAGGAAAGATTTCTGAGAGCAACCCGGGTTGGGTTAAACCATTCGTTGACCACATGTTGGATCATCCAGCAGGTTTGGTGGGATGTGGCATTCATGTCCCCCAGCTGTTCTCAGCACCAGTTAATTCGGCTCATTCCGTAGGTGGTGACTGGTTGCTGTGTGTTGACCTCCCTCCCTGCACTCCTGCAGACCAAACAACAGCCGTCACGAAGACACGACTGCCTCATACTGTCGATGATCTTCACACCAATCTTAGGGCTTCTCCTCATCTCCCCATACGCATCTATAACTCATTTCCAGACCCTCAGCTTTTGGATAGCTCACATCTATAACTCATCGAATCTATCACTCCTCTCCTTCTCCCGACCGCTCCCCCCACGACTCAAACCAAACCACCCAAAGCACATCCCTCCACCCTCCCCCGGTCCCTCCTCCGCCGGTCCCTCCGCTGGTCCCGGAGGGGGGCCGGCCAGCCACCACCACCTGGACCTCTCCTTCATGGAGCGCAAGGCCGCCTCGTCGCCGCGGAAGACGCCCCAGAGGACCACGTCGTAGGGCACCTTCCCTGGCGTCTTTCGTCCGCATCGCCCCCGTCGAGAGGCATGGCAGGGCACAGTGTCCGGCGGAGAGAGGGCGAACGAGAGCGCAGTCCTTCTCGCGTGGCGGTTTTGGCCATGGAATTCTGGGTATACAATAAACATATGTATACACTTCGCAGAACGGTGGTGTGCCAATAGCAAAGCGTGTTCAAAGCCTATTCCTGAAAATAGCGTCGGAGACATCTATACACCCCTGATTGGCAGAGGAAAAGGGTCTTCCGAACTCGGGGCCGTTGTCCATCCAGGTCCGTGCTTCTATTAGAGACGACCTACACTAGTCAAAAACGATGCAAAGGATCCCGTTTTTCGTGGCAAGTGGTGTGCGGGGCGCCCAGACCAGTGAACATGAAAGCGCAAATTCCCCTTTAAAGAACGATTTTCTTTTCATGTGCGAACCATCTGTAAGCATGTAGCACGATGTAAACAAATAAAACAAAAAGACACATCCCTGGCTTCCTGGTGCTTAGTGCTTCTTCCCAGGCCGAAGTCTATTGGATTGACCCTGGTGGCAGAACTCTCCCTTCCCCACACTGCGATGAAGGAGAGGTCCAATAACAACGAGCACACCTCTTGGCAACCAAACCAAACGAAAGACATTGAAAAAATAATGTGAACTCTTGATACCAGGTAGCTGGACCAGGGACTTACATTTCTGGTTTCTTCTACTTTTTCGTGGTGCAGGATTCTGGTGTATCGACCGCCTGTAGGTGTCTCTACTTCACCTAGTGTCCTGGTACGTATCACAATGTACTGCCATATACCGGACTTGGTTGTTCGCTAACCATCCCGACTCTCCATGAAATCCAACCCACCGCTACAGCTGTAGGTCGGGCCATGCTGGGCTGCGGCCTGCTTTTGTTCCTGACAAGCACTGAGTACCACGTCTTTGACCACGAGGTGCTGGAGACTGCGAGGTAACGTGACGTTCTCCAAGCTTTGGTTGAACAGGTAGCCCAGCGTCAGGCTCTGCAGCTGGGGCGGCCAGGCGACGCGCTGAAGGCTCTGGTTGAATCGAAAGCCCAGGGTGAGGATCTGCAAACAGCTGGGCCACGTCACTGGCTCTAAGGTCTGGTCGAAGTCACGTCCAAAGCTGAGGCATTGCAGATGGCTGGGCCAGGCGACGTGTTCCAAAGTCTGATTGAAGCTCTTCCCAAATGTGATACCTTGGATTTGCTGCTCCTCAGGAACCTGGAAAACACATATTCCCCCAGGTGAATTAGGGGCTTTATACAACCAGTTCGATGAAAAGGAAAAAAAATCACCCGGATGCGCAAAACCAGCATACTCCGAAGGCTGCTGGGGAAGGTCACCTCTGTCAAAGGCTGGTTGAAGTTGTGGCCGAAGGTGAGGCTCTCTAGGCTGATGGGCCACTGAACTGCTTCCAAAGTCTGGTCAAAACCAAAGCCAAAGGTCAGAATCTGCAAGGCTTTGGGCCAAATGACTTGCTGTAAACTCTGGTTGAAATGGTATCCAAAGGTCAAGTTCTGCAGGCCTGGCGGCCAAGCCACTTCCTCCAAAGTCTGGTTGAAATGAACACCAAAGTTCAGAATCTGCAGGCTGCTAGGCCATTTCACGCGTACAAGGCTCTGGTTGAAGTGAAAGCCAAAGGCCAAGTATCGAAGGCTGTTGGGCCACGTCACCCCCTCTATGCTCCTTGGTGCTGCAAACTGACCATGCCCCCACTCCCTAAAGCCTCAGGCCCTTCGGTTGGAGAGAAGAACGCCTTGAAACATTCTCAGGGTGTTCCTGGTGTCAGGTGATCTTCATCACTAGAAACTCCTTGGAGTTTTTCTTGAGGGTTCTTCCTTCCACAGAAGGATAGAACCACGATCCATGCAAGCCCATCTGAAATACGAGGGTTCAGCCCTCCACACTCTGGATCGGGTGCGCTTGGGTGACCAGTGCAGACAAGGCTCTGATTAAAGTCTTTGCCCAACCTTGACTGTTCAGAGAGGACCAACTTGCGGCCTGAAAACACTCCAATGTCAGTAATTAGTGGGACCTAAAAATTGCCCAGTCACTAGCGATCTCCGGCGATCGCAGCAGATCTGGAAAATCAACCTATATTTGGGTGGTACATCTGGTTTGGGTGGTATACATCCAAGTGAGTGCGAGTAGGAACTGGCCCCAAGCCTTGATTGATCATTGGATTGGCCACGCTAGCTTTTCCGTCGAGCCACGTGAGATTCAGCAGCTTCGAAGGCCAAGTCACTCGCTCCAAAGGCTGATTGAAGTCGCCACCCAACAGCAAGCTCTGCAGATTTGGAGGCCATGCGAATTCCTCGCAGCTTTGCTTCCAAGTAATTCCTTACTGCGAAACCGCCCCTGGTCCAAAAAGCTTTCTTGATCCCGACCCTACTCTAAAAGCCATCCCTAAGCGCATTCACCCCCTTTTGCCCGTCAGTATCTCCATCTTTGACCCAAGATTCCCAGTGCTAAGCCCTCCAAATTTGGCAGACTCGAGGGGTCCAATGTCTGGTCGAAATCCTCGTCCAGCCCAAGGCCACGCAGACCCTCGGGCCACGTCACTCGCTCCAGGCTCTGATTGAACCGATCGCGCAGGACCACACTCCTCGAGCGCTGCGCGTGTCGCGCGAGCAAAGCAACAGGCGGAAGCACCAAACGCGGTTCAGCGCCGTGCATGGTTTTCTGGGGGGGCGAAGCACTGGTGACCGTCGGTGACCCCCCCGTCAATCCCTTTGAAAAGGAGCTGAGTTATGCGTCATGCCCAGATTCTGAAGGCTCGCTGGCCACGTCACGTCCTCCAAACTCTGGTTGAAGTCTTTTCCAAAGACGAGGCTTTGAAGGGCACTGGGCCAGGCTACTCCTTCAAGACTCTGCTGAAATCTTTCACCGAAGCTCAAGGTGTCAAGGTTCTCTGGCCACACCACTTGCTCCAAACCTGGATAACCATTCCCAATCAATGGGGATGAAAAAATCATGAGTATATCAGTATATCAAAAGCCTCCTTCCCAGAAATCTTGGATTCCACAGCGGAAAGTTCTCTCCTCCGATGCATGCACCCTAGCTTGGTGACCTAAATGACCTAAATGACCCAAGTAGGTAGTGCTGGGATGTGTTTCTCTGCATCGAATTGGGTTTTGGATCCGGAGCATCAAAACCCCGCCCACACAAAAGACTGCAAGCTCGGCTCAGGAAGCTCCGGTCGAAGGCTTTCCCAAAGGTGAGCTTCTGTAGTCTCGATGGCCAAAGAACTCCTTCCAAGGACTGGTTAAAGTGATCTCCGAACTTCAGACTCTGGAGGTGTTTGGGCCACACCACTTGCTGCAAGCTCTGGTTGAAGTGATCCCCAAAGCTTAAACTCTGAAGGCTCTCAGGAAAAGTGATTTGCTCCAAGCTTTGGTTGAAGTGGTGACCAAATGAGAGGCATTGCAGGCCCGGTGGCCAGGTGAGTTGATGTAAACTCTGGTCGAAGCGGCCGAAGGTGAGATTCAAGAGCTCCCTGGGTAAGGTCACTCCGGCCAAGCTCGCGTTGAACTTCCAGGCGAAAGTCAAGCTCCGCAAGTTGCTGGGCATGTCCGCCAGCTGATGCAAGTGGCTGAGTCCTTCTAGGTGCGTCACCCCTTCCAGGGCGCATCCCTCATCCACCGGCAAAGAGTTGAGACATCTCCAGGCATCCTGTAAATTCGCAGCTTCATAGAGGTAGGACACCTGTCGTCGGGTCATGCCAGTGCCATTTGTGGCCTCTGCACCGAGCCCTTGGTCTTTCAGAGTCTTCAGCGGCTCAAGCATCGCCTTGGTGACCGTGGCTCTCCACACGGCAGCAGCTCCAAATGGGCCGAGCAAAGAAACGGAAACAAACACCAATGCCAATGCCTGTATACTACCTATTAGTTACTATAGTTGGAGTTTCGCTCATCCAACATCTCTCTTTTTTCACTGAAATCGCAAATAAATGTGTGTGTGAGAAGTGTCAAGAACAAACAGAATTCTTGCAGACCCAGGTCACAGATCCTTTCTGCACCACGGCTCTGGTCCCAGGTTTCCGCGGAAGAATCTCCGCCAGCCTCTGCCGGAGTTCTGCGCCGGTCAGCGACTCGGGCACACGCAGCACCTGGGTGTTCCAGATGGGTCAGCGAAGGGATGAAAAAGCTCTCAGAGCTCCAAAGACATGTTCCAAATAGCTGCATAGAATCCACCACTTAGGCATGACTGAACTCTTATATATATTGTAATTGATATGGAACCTCAAGGCCACTGGCTCACGTTGTTCGATCTTTAGGTTTAAACTGACTGTGGGCATCTGGAAGGTACAGGATTCCCCCAGGTTCCGATGTTCGATCTCTTTTTTTAGTTCTGGTGATGTTGGCTTTTTAGATGGAGGAAGGCCTGCATACTGCTCTGGCTCCAACAACGGAAGATTGGGACAACGTTGAGTCCGTCTGACTCCGCTCCAGACCCGACACCTGCATCTTCCCTCTGCGTTTCGCTCCACAAAGCTCGGTGATGTTCAGAGACTTCTGGGCACGGAGAAGTCTTACCTCTACAAGTGGAGTCTTTTCTTCTGTGTCACTGCACCATTCCATCTGTTCCATCCCCAACGGAAACACGAGATGTCGGATCCTGCCGACCGGACCCGAGAACAAAAAAGAAAGAATCCAAACCCAGGGAGTGATCGGTTCATCCGGACCGCCGAAGGTGCGTCCGGTTCTGGAGGCCATCCCTGAATCCTCCGGGCCTCTTCGAATGCATTCGGGGCACAACGACTTCTCCATCCAAACCACAAGCCTCGATCTCCACTCGTCCATCGATGGACGCATCACTCGGGTAGCCCGCGGCACGGCCATCCATGGCGGCTGAAGCAGCGGAGGCTTCGCCGGGTTCCGGATGGGCGTGTTGAGCAACGCATCGGAGAGAGCCTGAGCTTGTATGGTACAAATGGCGCCTAAATTCTCGTCAACCAGTGCACTTTCATACAACATCATACCGTACGTGTATCCCATTGCCAGTAGCAGTGGATGATGGTTAGGTTGCAGGCCTTTCTGTTAAATATTGTGATCATTGTTTACCGACTGGGTCCAGGTTTATTGGGACGTCACCCAACACCTATACACCTGGACGTCCCAATACGCTTCGCACCATGTCTGAGACGTGCCTACAGGTTTGGGGTTTTGATCATCCCAAGAGGTCCGAAGGGGCATGAAATCCGTCCAGTGTGGGGCTGTTCCTCTGCAGGAAGTCAGCCAAACATGGCATCACTCGTTGCGAGTCAAACAAGTCGCAAGATGAGGCAGATCTACGATTCGTGGTTGGAGAAACTGAAGTACATGGATTCTTAGGAAACACCAAATATCTTTTGAAACACCGCAGACTCGTTCGTCGAAACTCCAGTATAGCAGTTGATTGTGAAGGTCAACTTCGTGGGTCCTTCCACTGTGGTGACTGAAGTGAAAAGGGTGCCCAACCTACAGCACTCACCTTTTTGCAAACCTAAGAATCCAGACCCTCAAATGGGAAGGGTTTGGTTCGGGTCCCACCCCCTGCGTCGTCGCGCAAACGCATCGTGCGCCTGAGGACTCTAAGAGCCGGATGGCCCTCCAAAGCTGCGGCCGTGTCCAGCGGGCATTGGGCTGCCCCGTCAACAGCAAGCGCCTGCGCGTCGGAGACCCAACGAACAGACCCGGTGAACAGGAGCGTTCATTTGATGCCATCGAAGCGAGAGCCCGTATTGTCGGTAGCAACATGCTCTATAAGACACTATTTGACCAGCCTTGGACTGGAGTTTGTGTCAGTCAAATGCGTGAAGATTTGGCAGCGGGGCCTCTAATCACCGTGATGATGATATCGTTGTGAACTGTTACTGCTGGGAGATTCAGGAGTAGAGCTGGCTCTGTACAAGTTGATATAAGGCTTAGCTTCTATAAGTTGTATCAAAAAAATGTTTTAGATTCAAACAAGCCTGCTTGCAGCAGGAATTGGGCAGAGAGCCCATCAGAACGCCCTACAAAAAAGGAATCCCCTCTGGGAGGTACATGTTTAAAAAGTGTTCCACAAACATGTTGTTGCTCCACAATCATATCATTCAAAATCCTAACATCTTGTTGCTCCAAAAGCCACCCACATCCATTACTTGAGATCCACGGCAACCCCCTCCCCATCCACCTTACGGTCACCTCTGCCGTTTCCAGCAGCCAGCGGACGGCCTCCGACGCGCGGTGATAAGCGCGGACCCAAACGAAGATCTCGCGAAAAACACTTCCTTGTAAAGATGTGCCTTCCCACTCATCCGACCCTTAACCCTACAAGGCCCTACAGGCCCTGCCCAAATTTCCAGAAGAAGTGCACAACGCACGCAGGCCGAGAAGCGCCTCATTGGGCGCCACCCCATGGCGCATGTGACCCAACATGGCTGAGATGTCCATGTAGCGTCCGCCGATGGCCTTCAGCTGCCTGTAGCGTCCGCCAGGCCGAAACACGGTTTCGACGACTCACGACGAGGGATGCGACGGGTGACCGGAAAATCGTGGCGGCTGGGGACTGTTTTGGAGCCACATTCTGAGGGAGATCTCCAGGACCTTTTCCAGAATCGGAGATCGGCCCTCAACTCACTTCGGCCGTGCGAGCGGGGAGAGAACATGGCCCTGACGTGAAAGTCGTGGCAGCCATGGCATACCGACCGGTTGACCTACCTACGAGGACTGGTCGGTCGCTACAGGAACCTGACCATGCGATCCCTTGGTCATCCCTTCCCACGATTTCTGGCTGCCAGACCACCCCCCTCCCGACCCCTCCCGACCCGCGCCGCGGCAGCACGAAGCGCTGCGCGTCGCATCGGGAAGCCAAGGGCATCGCTATTGGTAGCTAATTTGCTACATGGAAACAAGAAGCGACTTGTCCCAACAAAAAATAGAAAAAAAACGCCATGTGGAACCTTCGAAGTACCGAAAGCACATGCCCAAACATATGTCCATCACATAGAAACAGATGTTCTCTACAACTCTTCATCAGACCACACTCCAAAACCACCCACCAACCTATCCCATTTTGAGCCCCTCCGCCCCCCCCAAAAAAAAGACTTTTCCAACCACTTCCGCTCCAAACCGCCCTCCTAAACCGAGAAAAAAAGAAGAGAACGCCCTCGCCACCTGTCGCTCCTTCCTCTCGCAACCGCTAAACCCCCTCCGAAACCCCCTCCTTCCTTCCACCCTCCTCCACCGCATCCGAGCAGCTGATCCGACAGGGCCGTGTCGTCCAGGTGATGCTGCAAGATCCGCCGCACCGAGCTCGCGCGGATGTCCTGCACCTCGAACCTCGGCGCCGCGACCGGCACGGCACGGGGCGCAGCGCGGTGCACGGGCGCGGCGCGGTCGGTGCACGGGCGCGGCGCACATCAGGTGAGGTGAGGTGAGCAGGTTGGTTTCACGTTGGACACCCTGGTGGTTTTTTTTTTTCACGGCCAATGAAGAGAATGGACGACCTACTACGAGGTCAAGAGACAAAAGGGATTGGGGCTCCAGGTTTTGACTCACGGCCAGATGTCTCAAAAAAGGAATCCACCAACTGGTTCTGGCTTTTTTTAATGTGACATCCACATAGCGGGCTACCAGGTAGTACCCCTATAGGACCTCACACACGGAGGTTTGACCTGGGAGAAATGTTGCTTGTTTCTATACTCCCCAATTGGTTCTTCATAAGCTAAGTGTGAAGTTTAAACTAGGTTGGGCTCACCTCTCTCGGAATAATACTGTTCTTGTTGGATTCTCCGGGCAAAGGGTCAGAAGAATGCAAGGCGAGGTTGGGCAGGTGTCGACAGGAGATGCTACCTTACAAACTCCAAAAGAATGCTTGCAATCCTAAATAGGCCGTGCATGAAGGTGTTAGGTGTTTAGTTTAGCCTTGCAACAACCTGAAGGGAAAGACGGGCAGCCATGCTCCGACTGACACGGCGGCGCCAGGCACCCCGCGGCGGTGTGTCACTGGCCACGGCGCCAGCACCATCTGGCTGTCTCTACCGACCGCTCCAAATCTCTGACCGAGGCACACGGAAAGTCGTTCGGGCCGATCCTTCAGATGTGCTAAGATGGAAGGCTCTCCAAAGGACGAGTCCTGAGGACGGAGACGGTCGATGCGATGGCCATCGATGGCGAGTCGGTGAGTCCAATTGTGAGTCTGAAGGTCTTAAGCAACCAGGTCGAGGTCTTCACCAACCAGGGGGAACCACAATCTTCATAGAGTCAGTCAGAGGGTGTTTTTGGGCGGGCTGCGTAGAGACCGCGAGCCCGTCAGAAAACTAAACAGGGGGAACAGTTCCCCTGTCTACTCACTCTTCTGCCATTGCCGGGATTCATCATGCCCAAAGAAGACTAAAACATATCAGCGCAGCATGGCAATTCAGGTATTAAATTCTAGTCTTGGTTGATCGTCGTCGAGGGGCAACCACCACTGGGAATCTTCTGGGATGTTTACACAGCATCTGACATACTGCCTGGCCTGGACCTGAAAAAGATCCTCTTATCTGCACCAAGATGCCGCCACGAAGACCACTCGAGCCAATTTGGCTTCGGTGACCTCAATTCGAAAGCAGCATGTGGCTGCGAGGTTGGCCAATGGAAACCGGCCACCAGCGCATTCACGGGCCAGCGGCCACCTGGTGGTCTTTTTCGGGATTCTGACCCTACTCTTCAAGAGGTCTCTCTTCCAGAGCGGCCCAACATGCTGTTTCGAAGGGGGCCAGTTGGCCAGTTGGGGCTTTTGGGCGAAAGCAAGTGATGTGATGCTCCGCAGCTTGTGCATTCAATCTTTGCATTCCATGGCCAATCTCGCCCAGATTCCTCGCTACCTGGTGAGAGTGAGGACCTGTAAGGATAGAGGTGGAACTCGACTTGATCCACCAGTCCCCCGAGGCCCAGACCGTAGGAACACCGCGCCCGACAAAAGCGAAAGCGCTGCAGAAAGGTATATCACCAGTGTCTCGGAGTGGCTGTGGGACTGTTTTTTTTTTTTTTTTTTTTTTTCGGAAAGTAAGACATCCTCATCCGGGAAAATATAAACCCCCCCCAAAAAAAAAGAAAAAAAACAGAAACATTCAGAAACGGTGTCTGCCAGGACCTTCCACTCGTGAACTCGTGACCTCTTCAGGATTGGTCAAAACGGTGACCTGAAATCAAGGCCTAACCGGCCCGGTCGTGACCGACCCACTGAGATCTCAAGGGTCACGAACGGTCAGGTGGTGTGTTTCTTCGTGCGTTCGTTCATGTATGATCACCCGACCCACCAGGCTCGTGGAACCCGACCCACCGGGCTCGTGTGTTTGTTTACGGCCGAAGGGGCATAGGCGGCCCAGCTCACCAGGGCTTCGAAGAAGCCCGGGCGACGGTCCTGGCGTAAGCCGCGGCCGGGTGACGGTGAAACCTGGCGGAACCTCAACCCGGGCACCGAGGGCGACACCATGAGAATGAAGCAACGAGATGGTTCTTTCTATGGCGCCATTCTCGTCATGCTTGTTGGAGCGGAGCCGTGGAGCCTTCATGTCGCACCCGGGAAGTCAACAAAAGATCTGGAAAATCGTGGATGTCTTGGACTTTAAAGAAGGAACGAAAGCAGCCAAACCTGGAACCCTGGATGTTCAAAGTTTCATCGGATTTCTCTTCACCACAACACTGTGTGTGTACCCCTTGGAGTCACAGGGATCCGGTTGGATTGTTGTTTGTTTTGATGTTTGCTTGATTTGCAGGGGGGCAATGAACACTTTGGAAGGCATTGCCCAACGAAGACTCTTCCATCGTGTTGTGAAATGACTTTGGGACGCCAAGTCACGTACCTGCCAAATTGTTTAATTGATCTCTCGCAAAGGGCTAATGCATTCTGCAGACAAGGGCAACCGCCGTCACTTCGACCTGTTCGTCGTCTCGTGGCATTGGATTTTGGCCTTTAACTACAGGTACTGAGACCCCTCTTGTCTTTTCAGGATTTGGTTTCTTAGGTTGCCGTGTGGCGAGCGGCATTCACATCAGTACGCATTTCTATAAGTGTGTATTTGTTTAAAGCATAATTTATCATAATGCACTAGCTAATTATCCCACCTTGACAGGCTCACACTCATGAAGTTCTTTTTCAGGGGGAAATCCTCCATTCTCCATCCTCCTTCTTCACCAAAAAACGGCACTATTCTCGAAGGGTGCCTTGTTCTCGGAGGTGAAGCCCGTGATCAGGATCAACGGCGTGGCGTCGAACTTCAACGACGCCGAGCTCCGCGCTTTCCACGCTTGGAGCGCCTCGGTCGGCACACGGGTTGCGGTGCGCAAAAAAGCGGAGAGAGATCGAGGCGGCGGTCTGAAGTGGATGTGCTAATTCAGTGACCCCAATGGACCTCTTCACGGATCAGACGAACGGGTCAGGAAGTCGAGTCCGTTCCGTTTTTGGGGGCATATGTGACTTAGGCCGTGACGAAGATTCTTGGAGCGTCTTTCTTTGGGGTCTTTTGGATGAAGAGCGAAGCGTCTTCCGTTGCGAGGCGCAGCAGGTCGTGGTTTGGTGTTGTGGCACGTTTGAAGCGCTTAGGCAGGGCTGGCAGGACATGCGATACAATGCATGTATACACGGTAAGTGCACCATGTGGAGCAAACACACCTGCGCACCCCCTCTAAGCAAGAAATTCTACATAGTTCTCATGGATGTGGAGCTAAGTAGGTGGCACATGGAGGCGCGCATGGGGCAAGTGGCGTCAGTTCCCAGACACAGTTCCTAGTTGTACACGCGTTTTGAAAGCGTAACTAACCGCAAAACATGGAGGAGGCGCTCACATGCTCAAATCTTTGCCGTTGCCCCCCCCCCTCTGGAGCTTCAACCGCTGCAGGTCCTGCCTGTGTGGATGCGAAAAGCACCCGCTGCACGGCCACCAGAAGCTCGTTCTCCCGACTGAGCTGTTTGCCTTGGGCCAAGGAAGAAGGAAGTGGTAGCTATTACTTGGACTCCATCCAGCTCCCAAGGCTTAAACACTACTGACTCCAAAGAATGCGATTCTTGGCATCAGCTGGGTGTAGCTTTACCATCCAAATGGAAGTTGTATAAAGTATTTTCTTTTCAATGCGGCTCTTGAGATCCACTGGAAGAGGTACGGAAGAATCTCCTTGATGTATATAGTGGATTGAGAGTAGATGGCAAACCCCAATGTCGGTGGTTTATATGGACCCCCATCTGTTCAGGACATCATGGGGTCTGTGCCATCTACTCTGGAACCACTGTACATCCTTTTCCACTGAAAGTTGCCCCAGTTCAATATCCCATGTGTTCAACAAAACCAGGGCTTTCAAGCCCCGCAACTCGGACGTGGCCCCGCAACTCGGACTCGCCACTGGTCGTTTGGTTGCTCGGGCCAGCTGCTCAAGTGGTTTGGAGCTGATGTCGGCCGAAAACCCCCCCTATCTACAAGCTTTCCAGCTTTTGATCCAACATGGATGTTGGCCCGACACCGATGGGTCCCTCTGGCCTCGGTCCGCCCGGTCGTCCTCAGACCACCATGACCACCCGGGTGGTGCCCGGATGGGACCGGTGGGGACCGATCTCGGCTAAGACCGAAGAGTGCCCGGTTTTCTGGTCGGTGTGTTCAGTCCACGAAAGAAAACCATAGGAGTCAGAAGGTCCAAGCATCCCCAAGTCTTTGGGGGTTAAGGAACATCACCGAGTTTTTGGAGGGATGTGCGCCCGAACTAGCGGAGGGTTCATGATTGACCCGAACTGGCGGAGGATCAGGGTCTTTTGACAGGGGGGCGGTTGGACCCGCTGCCGTAGAGCGGAAGAGAGTTGGACAAATCCCTGTGGAAACATCCTCACTCCCTGGAATCATCATGGGAAGTGGAGAATATCCCTCTACAACAGGGGTGTCCAAATGATCTTTCTGAAATTCGCTTTTTGTTTGTAACGAACAGGTGGTTTTCCACGCCCGTGATGATTCCACGATGTGTCAGTTCTGCTTGGCACATGTATGTTTGCATAATGTTTGCTCACCCAGAAGTTGGAGGCAACGGATCTGTCCCCCAGAGAGGAGGATGGAACAAAGAACCCAAACTTTGGCACTATCTTGCTGCTTTCTTCAAAATAGAAGCAGACCAGGTGTCTCTCTTGATTCATGTGTAACCGTGTAACCTTTTGTTCAGGCCATCTGCCCAGGCCATCTTCCTCTCATCTTCCCCCCGCCCACTCGACCGGAGCCCGCCTGAGCCCGGAAGCATCAAGTCCAGCACCGCCGACAGCTGGCGATCCATCCCTCGCCGGCGCCGGTCGGTGCGACGCTCGGCGCGCCCAGCTGGTTGACCCCGGGTCAAAGGCACAGATCTTGGATCGATTTCGGTCTTCGGCTGTGGATGATGGTGAGGTTCCTAAGGCTGACATCTCTATATTCCTAGTGAAGATCCCGCCAAAAAGAACGGATGTTGACTTGAGGTTCGATGGGACAAATGTCGGGCCCCCAAGTTGAGTGGGTTCGTCGTGGAGCTCCTTTTTTCTTTAGAAGGACATCTTTGGGTGGCAGTGTCAAGGAGCCAGCATGTCATCCGAACCACGCCATGTGTTTTCAGGGTTTTCGCCATGACACTCTGCTTTTAGTCATCGAACCTCTGAAAAAGGTTCTCTTTGAGCGCAAGTGTCTTCTTTGGTTTAGTAGTGGACCCCCGAGTCATTGGCCCCAGGTTGCCAGTGTCTTCCTGACCGGGATGTCAACCTCTTTGGTGGGCCATGACTCACAAACAAATTAAGCCTAGAACCTGATGCTTGGAAACCTCTATGTCGGGACCAACTCGGTCATGTCCTGTTCTTCGAACAGGTCATAAGTTGGGGCTATCATATTACCCAGTGGATGATGTTTGCTAGTAGAGGCTTTTCTCTAAAATATCTAAAATAGTACAGTATCAGTGATAATTGTTTACTAACTACGTGATGGGACAAACCCAAGTCGTAAGAGTCATCAGTCATCAGCGTCCAAGTGGTTGGAAAGGTTCAGAACAGCTCCTCCCATCTCCTCCCATTTTGTCAGCTTCTTAGCACGTTGCCTGGTTCGGCTGTTTGGCCATCAAGTTCTTTGCCTCAAAGAAAGATGGAGAAGAAGATGCATATGATCCATATGGATGGGCACATGGCGCGATGTGACCCTCGTCCACCATGCAGGCAGAATTGCTTGCAACAAAAAATCGCCAAGGACTTGCATCGCCAAGGCTTCTTGCACCAGGTGCAGGATGAACATCAACCGTACTCACTCGTGCTCGACACATTTGTGCACGACAATGGTCCAGGCTTGGACGTCAAATGGACCCTGAGAATGATGGCAACACGACCACTAGGACCACTATGTGATTCGCAAAGTGGACCTGTACCTTCATTCTCTCCTACCTTTTCATCTAGTCTTGTATCCAATTTGCAGAACTTCCATCATCGACCTGCCCACTTGGGTAACAAACGGCCAACACATAGTCCTTCGATCCAGTTGCTCCAGTCAACACGTAGTCCTTCGATGTCGCGCACGGGAAAGATGTCGCGCCGGCCCTCACTTCAAGTTCGTTCCGGTCTCTGCCGCGGGTGCGAAATCTTCATGCTGAAATGACCAAGTCTTTGTACACCAGTCGTCTCAAGTGACGGGGGAAGCATCGAACCGTGTGCAAACTCTGTTGGAAGCCATGGCCCAAGGTCAAACTTTGAAGACTGCCAGGCAGAGCCACCTGCAAGCGCCGCGAGTCTTTGCCACGGTGAGGTAGGCCCTATGTACTTCTTCACTGCCCAACATGAACAGACCACCACAACAGGAGGTATATTGCCACAGTGAGGTATATTTACTTCTTCACCCAACACGAACAGACCAGGTCAACGCTCCTGTGACCCCGTTCCGGTGACAGAACGAAGACGGCGCGTCTTGGGAGGTCCGCAGCAGAAACGCGTCTCGGTCCGTAAGGCTTTAGGTGGTGAAGCGAAGACAGGGAAGACATGGAACAACCACCAGGTGTAAACAGGTGTGAAGGAATGTGAAGGATCGTATGCGGTTCATCTTGGCATTGTGAAACTTGAATATGTATAAACCTTCATAATACTGTACATCATGCAACTCAGGATCATTCTCTGCAACCTGGTTCCTTCTCCCAGTGTTTGGAACTTTTCCTTGCCCCCAACCGCCTACCTGGTCCAAGCTTTGATTGAAGTTCATGCCCAAGCTTAGGCTCCTCAGACTTGGAGGCCAAGTCACTTGTTCCAAGGATTGATTGAAGTGGAAGCCCAGCGTCAAGCTGAGGAGGCCCTTTGGCCAAGCCACTCCCTCCAAACTCTGATCAAACATGCCAGCGAAGACCAAGGTCTGCAGACTCTCAGGCAAAAATGAGCCCTGAATTGCTCGATTGAAGGTCCAGCCAAATGAGAGACTCAGAAGGCTCTGAGGCCACTTCACCTGCTCTATGCATCGATCGAATTCCCAGCCAAAGGCTAAGTGCTGAAGGCCCTGTGGCAAGGTGACTCCGTCCAAAGGCTGGTTGAAGTGGTTGCCGAACGTCAAACTTTGCAAACTCGGCCAGTGCACTTGCTCTAAGGGCTGGTTGAAACAAACGCCAAAGGAGAGACTTCGGAGGCTATAGGGCAAACAGGTGTCATCCATACGCTGATTGAAACACCAGCCAAAAGTGAGGCAATGGAGGTTGTTGGGCCAATTAACTTCCTCCAACGTCTGGTTGAAATTCCTGCCAAACGTGAGGCTCTGCATGCTATTTGGCCACTTCACATGTCTGAGACCTTCGTTGAACCGTTCACCCAAGATCAAACGGCGGAGGCTTTGAGGAAAAGTCACATTCTGGAGGCTCTGGTTGAAGTCACGACCGAAGGTCAATGTTTCAAGGGCTTCAGGAAAGTGTACTTCCTCCAGACTCTGATTGAAGCTACTGCCCAAGGTCAGAGTCTTTAAACCTTGGGCCGCAGCAACACCTCCCAAGCTCCGGTTGAAGCTGAAGTCCAAAGTCAGCGTCTCTAGACTCCGAGGCCAAGCAACTTGCTCGAGATGTTGGTTGAAACTGAAACCAAATGAAAGATCTCGCAATCCTGGTTGAAACAGGAAGCCAAATACTCCGGACGGTGGGGAGCTTAAACAGGTCCCTTCTTTGGCTTGAGGCTTGAGGTCTCCACCTACCTTCTGAAGCCTTTTTTGGAGCTGGGGCTCTAGACATGGTCTTGGGGAGTTGCTACAAAAAAAACTACTTGAAGAACTAGGACGTCATCAATCAGAGACAAGGATCTGGGAGGCCACTTCACTTGATCCAAGCTCTGGTTGAATTGTTCGCCGAAGGTCAAACTCTGGAGGTTGCTGGGCCAGGAGACGGCCTCGGTCGTTGGGTTCACTCGGCGGAAATGAAACAGCTAAAAGATGCACAAAAATAACAACAATTACACTTATGAAAAACCCATCCATAAAGTGAATTAAAATATGACCTAGCGGATGACCTGCCCACTAGTTATAAATTAAAAGTGGGCTGACTAACATGGAAGTGGACAATAGCTTGGTTTGTAAACGAAAGTCGACTTCCAAGGCACCATCTTCATCCATGTTCCACGTAACCATGGTCCATGTGTTCGTCAGAGTGTACAACTGGGAACCCTTGCATGTACCTCCAAGGTACAAATCTCTTTTAGGTTTTGGGGACCCCCATCTACAAGACCTGTTTGCACGAGGCACGTACCATCTACTGTGTCAAGGTCAAGACCGGTCAGTCTCAGCTAGCCTTTGCATAGCTGAGCAGCTTCTAAAGGCTGGTTGAAGGACCAGCCCAAGGTTAAGCTTTGGAGATGGCGCGGCCAGTTGAGCTCTTTCAAGTCCTGGTTGAACTCCCAGCCAAAGGTCAGACTTTTCAAGTCGCCTTCCGCTGATGATCGGGCGGAAGAAAAGAAGAAAAGAAGAGGTGGCGGGACCCCTCCACTGGTTTTGGACCCGTAGGGGCAGAAGGAGCTGGGTTCTTGGGTTCCGGGTCAACCGGCCAAGGCTTTGCGCATTGGTCTCCGAACTCGAAGAGAAAAGATCAACAACATCCCTCCAAAAAGGACAAGTGTTCTGCAGGTCAGCAAGGCCCAAGGTACTGGGCCAGCTCACTCGCTCTAAGTTCTGATTGAACTCATGTCCCAAGCTCAGGGTTTGAAGGCCGTTCGGCCACGAGATCTGCTCCAAAGGCTCATTGAAGCCATGTCCCAGCGACAAGCTCTCCAATGAATTGGGGAAGGCAACTCGTTTCAAAGTCTTCTGGAAATCATGTCCAAATCTCAAAAATTCCAAGCTGCTTGGCCACGACATTGACTCCAAACTCTGGTTAAAGCTATGCCCAAAGACCAGGCTTCGAAGTCCCTGAGGCCAAGCTACTCCTTCCAACAGTGCGTTGAAGTCTGCGGCGAAGCTGAAACTCTCCAAGCTCCGCGGCAGGCGTTCTCCATGGAGCCCCAGCCGTTCGAAGGCTTCCTCGGAGATTCCTTCCAGCTGAGTGACGCCCTCCTTACTGGCGCGAAACGGTCCAAAGGAGTTGCGACCAACCTCCCTGCAAATAGGCACGACTGGACCAAAGGCCCTGTAGAAGGGAATTCGACAACCATCTGCCTACGTGGAAACCACTATAGAAAGCGTATCTGCCGATTTTTGGTGAGACTCTAAAGCCATGGACGCGTCATCAACGGGATAGCCGTGGATGAGTTTCCAGGCATCCTGCAAGCTAGCGGGTTCGTAGACATAGGACAAAATGGCATCATCAACAAGCCCTTGTGCTTTGAGGCTCTGCTGTGGCAAGACCGCTTCCTCACTTAGCCACACAACACAGCAAAGGAAAAACTCGAGTTGATCTGAAGCTTGAAGGAGAAATATCTTAGATTCTACCTCAAACGATTCCGAAAAATCAAACGTTTGCTTCTCACCTCCCCCTTGGAACGAGTGTCGGCTCCCCTTTGCACAAGGACTCTGGCACCGCTTTTGGCCGGACGTCGCTGGGCGATCGCCTTCCGCACTTGCCGCCCCGTCCAGGACGGAGCCACGTGGAGCACCTGTGACCGGTCCACCCCGGTCACCGGTGTAGTCTTAAAGGGACTTCTCCTCTGGAGGAGACCGTTTAGGACAAGTACAGTGGAAGGATGTTGAAGGTACAAAGCCTATGAATCGTGCCACGTGTTCTGGGACCCTTTTCTTCAAACCAAACCGACCGACCTCGGAGACGCGGCGCAGTTCACCCAGTGTGTGTGTGTGTGTGTCTAGTGGGGCGGTGATGGATGTGATCGTTCGACCCACGCGACGTGCGGACACGCGTTGACGCCAGAGGGGAAGTGTTGGGATCGGGGCGGGGCAAGGCGTTGCCTTTTTCAGGACAAACCTAGGTCCTAGGTCATGGCTTCGTCCTGAAAAAAATGGTAGGGGTGGGGGGTGGGCGATCTAGTGAGAGTATGTGTGGTGAGAGTAGGCGGTTTCATCACATGGAGGGAGTTGATAGCCACAACGATTTGGGAGTGCGGAGAGACCCGGTAGGCTGCTGAAGCAAAATAGATACTTCAAACTTGAAATACTGGTATTTGAATATATATGCTACATGCTCCCTTAGCCCAACAAACCTCTCTCTCCATGTGGCGTCCTCAAAATTGGTGCATCTCCTACTGAGGATTGGTGGCCGCAGGCGCTAGCCCTCTAAGTAGACAACCAAACTCATTCATGGAGGGTTCTCCCTCTTCTACCTCCCTCTTCTACACACCAACATGTATATAGTCTCACTGATGGCAAAAACTCCCGCTGGATTCATCCGGCACCCACAGCTGCAGCAAGCAGCAGCTCCCTTGTGTAGCAGTCAACACCATGCTCCAAACCCACCTGCTAAAGGAACAAGCTCCACTCCAGCTGCCTGACATGGAAGTGGAACATGGCCCTTAGGCATACGATTCTCCCGATACCCACACACACACTGGGGAACTTATTTGCACCCAAAACATGTATGTAAACACTCGTCAAGGTGATCAAGGCGGAGTGATCAGTTCGTTATCAAGGCACCAATCCCTCTCCATCCAAGCCGAAGACCTGAATTTCCAGCTCCTTTTCGTCCTCCATGGGTGCGGTCTCCGGTCTCCGTCGGTCTGTGGTCTCCGGTCTCTCCGGGTCGGGCAGTCGGTGGTGCTCTTCGAGCCAAAGGCGAGTCCGCACTGCAACACGGACGTGGACTCTGGGCGATCGTACTGAAGCAGTTGCTGCTCTAGCAGCATCACCTGTCTGGTTGCCTTTGGGATGGTAAGCAAATGTTGTGGCCAAATGGTATTGGGGGGGTCTATGAATCAGGCGTTGCAGTCTTCCTGACATTTTGACAGTATAATCCTAATCCCACAGTCCTTTTTGAGGTTGTCGCGGTGACCCCTCGTCAGATCCTCCTGCCTCGGCCAAAAGCCATGACCCTTCCTGAGTCATTCTGCTTGTGCACCAAGGAACCCCCAACATCCCCACCCTACTCCCTCCGCCTCTCCATCACGACTCCCCCCCAACCAAAGACAACACACCACCGCACCGCACCTCCGCACCTCTATGCAGTCCGTGCGCTGGCGCGCCACCCGTTTGCGCTCAGTGGTGTCCTTTCCGTCCACGCCTTGTGCGGGCCAATAGCCGACAGCACGGCTAAAAGCCCGGAGGAACAGATGATCATCCGCAGCGCCTCCCGCCTGACGCCCAGGCGGAGAGGCGATGGGTTGGGATCTCCACGGATAGGAGCAAGGCCCGGAAAGCATGGATGTAAATGGATGGATGAGGTCTCCTCTCAAGCATTGACAAAAGCCCTGAGGTTGGTGGGTGTTGCTTCTATATCTTAAAAAGGGAAACCAGTAAAGCTCCATGTAATTACAATCTGGAACACAATACTGCTGCTCATCTGCCCTCGCTTCACAAGGTTTCTGAAGGGTTATGCTCTAGAATCTCCATGTGCTTCCACTTCGTCCACTTCGCAGGAGAGGTTTGGACTAGACCAACACAGCTGCCTCCCTTGCCCGCCTCGAGCATGTCTCGGACGTTGATCTCAAGCGTCCGTCCTCCTGGCACCGTCGCGGGTGCATCACCCCGATCCCCATGGACCTCAGACCTCCGAGAGGAAAGAGATGTCCGGGTTTGGGGGCGAAAAGGTGGAAAAATGTAGATGGTTTTGGACGGGGTTGAAGACTTCAAAGACCTTAAGAAGAAAAGACGACAGTGGTTTTTGGTCTTCTGGAAATCTCAAAGGCATTAGTTGCAGCGATATTGGTGAAACTCATACCTTTAATTGAATGGTATACGGTATATACAGTAGATCTTTTAACATCAGGATCCTCTTGCTGTTCGGCACCTGGGTTCTTTGAGTTTGTCTGATGGGGTATGAAGCGGATGTCCCAGCCTGTGGCCGAAGGAAGGAAGAACCGTCGGGCAGCCCGACGAATGGACAAGCTACTCCGTGGCCACATCCGAAAAACACCCAGACACCCAGACAGTTCGGATCTTGGGTTCGGGTCAGCCTGGGTTCGGACCTTCCCGGGCTCCTATGAGCTTCTTCATCATCTCGTGCAGGCCATTGCCCCGGTGCCCCGTGAGCAACAAGACCCGCTCAGGCGGCTGATCCACCCAGTCCTGACCGAGACAGAACAGGAACGTGGCCCTTTCGTTGGAAGGTGGTTTTGATCGTTAAATGGAGAATGGGGAGTTTGGGGAGAGTAGATGAATCAAGTTGACATTTGTTGAATCATGATGCATGTTGAATTTCTTATGAAAGGAAGTCCAGAATGGTCCACCTGTGAACAACCGCAGGAAGGGGCTAGGGCAGGGGGGATAATGATTTTCCTTGTTGATCGTCAGCCGACCTCCCCGCTGCCGGGCCCGCCTTTAGTTCAGCAATCTCCGCCTGCCGTTCGGCCCAGAAGTCGTTGAAGAGGTCTGGCGGAAGCGCTTCTTGACGCGACGTTCTTCCGCCCCAACACCCACTGCGTGGTGCGAGATAGACACCCGCGATAGACACGTCTGGTGAGGCTAAAGGAGCCGATAGCTTTACATACACCCTGCACTCTGGGTAGAGCAAAAGGCCTGAACCAGTCCTAAAGACCAGAGCCTCAAGCAAGACACAAGCTTGGCTGGCTGGAGGAGCATCACTTCTCTGGGTGAAAATCACTTCACCAGGTGTTTTCCACTAGCCCAAGAACCTGGAGCCCAAGGTGCTTCAAACTATCAAAAGACTACAGTGGTTTCAGTATAGTGAATGGTACAAAGAATCCCAAAGAGGTGTTTTATATAGGAGTCCATATAACCCACCGACCTTTGGGGGATTGTGCCGACTCTACTCTGTGCCAACGACTGAATTTGAGAATACGTCTTTCACTGCAAGGAACGTCGCTGTCTGAAGGTCGCGAATTCGAACCTTCAAACCGCTCAAACCGCCCTCAAACGGTCTGGGGAATCTCCCGACACCATGTCGCTTGTGGGTCGAAAGGGCACGCGAAATCGCGCTCGTTCGATCGAAGGGCCTCCAACAGAGGTGACCAGTGACCTGAAAAAGGATTCAGTCACCTGAGCGACACTCCAACTAACACATGTGAAGTGGATGGCATGGTCCCTCCTTGGAAGACGACTTTCCGTTACGAACAGGAAAGTAGTCCACTTCCATGTGAGTCTCACTGTACTTATGGTATTAGTCGAACACTTGGGGTCCTTCAACCTCTGCCTCTGATCCGGTTCGAAGATGGGTTCGGGTTCGTCTGATCCTTCTCCCCGTGCTTCGGCCCCATGGTGCGCTTTTTGGGTGGGAGGCCTTCGGAAAGCGTGGACGGATGGACTTGCCAGGTGCCACTCGCACTGGACCAGACTACCAGACTCCGGTGGCGTTCTGAACTCAACGGAGCCGTCGCACGTCACCGTGGTGTTTTTGCTCAGTCGCGCGGTCGCGCGCCGCGCGACGTGCGCTGCGCGCACGTTCGACCGGACGCCAGATGGTGAATCGCTGGGACGGACACTCCAGGGCACGTATCTCAGACCTGTCTCCTCATCCATTCTGGCCATCTTTCATGGACCACACGAACATCTATGAACCTGTTCCAACAAGAACCTCTCACAATCTCAGTCCATCCTCATACAGCGAGACGAGCAAGTCACAAATCAGCCATGCCCGCGGCCTCGCCCAACCCGCAGCCTCCTTCCCCGCTCGCCGGACGTCGATATTGGTGCCTCGGGCGCTGGTCTTGGGCCGCAGGCTCGCGCGAGCTTCAGAGACAAAACGCAGCAGGAAGCCCTGGAGGCCCTGGTAGCCTGCGGACGCGGACGCGCGGTTCAGCTGCGGAGCGCTGGCATGCAGAGTGGCACGAGACCGGCACATCCGTGGTGGCACGGCGAGACCGGTCTGGCCCGACTGATCATGATGCCGTTTTCGCCTTTCAAGACCCGTTCCAAACATGGGAAGAACCTGGCGTCGTAGTGTAAACATCCTTTCTGAAACCATGGTAAAGGATAGTAAAGCCTATATTGAATGAATGGCGGGAATCCTGGGGTGATCTTAAGGCCCTTTTTCCAACAAAAGCTCCACGGGCTTTGGGTTCTGCCAACCCTGACCTGGAGTCAGGTGATGTCAGGTGGCCATCTCCTTCTTCCTGCTCTACAGGTGAAGTCAAAAAGCCTCAAGCAACTCTTCCCACCCACGACACAGCCACTCGCGATCGATCCCTTCGCCCCTCAAGAGCCCTTCCTAGCTGCGGTGCTAGAGGGTTGGACAAGCAGCGACCATTTCTGGGAGTTCGGCACTTCCAGAAAGGAGCTGCCTACGTTCCATTGGACTAAGTGCCATGTTAAAATTCGAGTAAGCATCCAAAGTATTCTAACTGGTGTGATTCGGCAGCTTCTTTATCCTTCTCGATGTTCTCGCGTCGAATGAAGTGCATTGAGTTCTGCCAAATATATACTGGAATGCAGTGCGTCCATTGGTTGAACTGAATGATCTCAAGAATGTCACCAGACGCTGCCAGAAGCAACTCTTCCCACCCAACCTGCTACCCCACCAGGCCCCACCAACCCACCAACCGCGCCTGTGGACACCTCCGCAGATCCATTCGCCACAGACGACGGCGCCGCCGTGTTCGACGCCTTCGACGACGGCGGCGGCGAGGAGAAGATCGAGGCGATCTTCAGGTGGACGAAGGCGCTGCGCATGGGATCCCAGATGAAGTACGTCGTGCCAAACCTGGCTTTCCCGACGAATTCGACGTACGAAGTGAGTCCTTCCGGACGGTTCGATCGGTTCAGTCGTTCCGGACGGGGTTCGCATCGTCGCATCGGATCGGGGCGTCGGTGCGGCTGGGGCGCATGAGCACCACGAAGATCGGGAAGATGAGCCGCGCGTTGGAGGTGATCGTCTCCCAAATCCACTTCCTGGGACTGTTCTGAGACATATATACGTGGGTCTACGTGGGTCTACATGGTTCTCTTCTTTGGCCAACATATAGGTGGCTGGGGCTGGTCCGTGCTCTGTCATTTGGAGCCATAGAATGCTCTAAGATCACATAATCTTCCCCTCTCCTTCTCCAAGAAGGACCACCTGCCTTTTGAATATAGGAGAATGTAATTGTGTATATACGTGTTATATTGCTATATACAGTAGGTCTTTGAAGACCCTAACAGGCTGTTGGAAGACCCTCACAGGTGGTTTCTGGGCACCTGTTGTCACCTCTCGTCACACCTGGCCAGGAGGGTCCAGGTAGGCCTAGCTCTTCGTCGACCGAACGTCCAAGCCAAGTGGCCGAACCGATCAACCTGTCTGGGTCGTCTCGAACTGAACCAGTCACCAGGCTCCGATCAACTCCCTGCAACTCATCTTGGAAGTGGAAAACCCTCTTTTTGTAGAGGAAAAGGAAGCCCTTTTCCACTTCCACTGTTAGTTCTGGGGAGTGTGTTTCTCAGAAGATCGGCCGAGTGACTGCATGAACTGCTTGTAGTCGATCTGGAACCGCGGTCCGTCGGCGTTCTTGGCCTCGTCAGATACTTAGACTTGAAGATCTGTGCCCGGCTCAGTACCCCCAAAAAGCAACAGCTGTCAGGAACCCAAAGAAATTCCTATGTCCCGGCACACTTGTCAATCAAATGAAGCTTATCAAGCTCTGGTCAAACCGTAGGGCACATGATGAAGCTCATGAGTTGGAGCATGGCAAATGCAACTTGTTGGAATCGCATTGTTCAGACTTGACAGCTCCAAAAAACTGTTTAGACACAAGGCACTTCCGAACTTCCCTACTTATCCACTGTTTCTGCTAAAGCCACCCTTCTGCCCCACCCCAAGCACAGAATCTGCCGGGGGAGAACATCGCGAGAACAACAACCAACAAAAGGAAGCGGCTTTGTCCAAAAACCTGCCGAGGTCTTTACTATGGCTGAAGACTCCCGTCTACCCTTCGCTCTTCGGCCAAAACACTCATCCCATCCCCATCGGCCTCCACCAGCGCCCGGTGGAGGCAGTTCCGCGCCGCCACCGCGCCGGCGGTGTAGCGAAAGGAGGCCAAGTAGCCCTGCTCCGTGGCCTGGCGACCACACCGGACGGGGCGAGGTCGGTGCAGGGACGGGGGGTGTCGGACGGGAGGCGGGAGGAGGGCTGGGCACTGGTAGGTCACCGCACGGCTGGTCACGGGTGGAAGGCCGAAAAGCTTGGGTGGACTAGGGCAGAATTTTCGAACACAGGGGGCTCCAAATCGCTGAGTCTTGAAGAGGATCTTCCGCCAACCACGAGTTGCATGTTGGAAGATTGGTTTTAGGGCGTTGGGACGAGTGAACGAAAAGGATGATGGATAAGGGATGGACACTGCATCTTGCAGGAACTGTGATGGGATTCATGCCAATGGATTAAGGATGATCCCGTTCTTCAAAATATCCTGGTTTGAGGTCATTCTATGTGATAGCCTGCATGTAATACCTAGACCAGCTGAGCAAAATGTCTGCCTTCTGGTTGGTTTTATACAAAACATTCCGCAAAGTTGGAAGATCTAGGTATATGTACACACACATGGGATCTGGTCGAAGTCCCTTGAGGGCCCAAAAACGGTCAGTTGGATGATCGGAGGCTCCTGTGTCTAGCAACTGCTGTTGATCCACTTCCGCCAGCGAATCGACCAGCCGCCCTACCAGCCCACCAACCCACCCCAAAATCGGGCCAAGCCCCTGTCCTGGAGGTCTTCCAGCTGTCCATAACGCCTGAGAATCTCATAGAGCTGCTCCTGCCCATCCGACCGCGGCCGCAGGACGACGGACCTTCGCCTGACCTTCGCTGCCATCGTTCGGAGGGTTTCGGCGCGCTCACGTCGTGGATTGGACCGGGGAAGACTCGGGAAGACCAGGGAAGAATGTATGACATCCAATCAAATAACATGGAAGTGGAGAATATGTTGTAGAGTCGCTCTAAGTGCGTGTATAACATCCAATCATTGACCATTCAATAGATTCCCAGTTTCCTGACAGCCAACTGACACTCAACCAGTTGCCGACAACTGACACCCAAATGGCCCAAGAAATATGTCCTCCCCCATTTGGACCGCCACACAGAGCACCAGACGAACGTAGCCGCCGCCGGTCCGAAGCTCGTTCGGCGGAACGTCTTCGGCAGCGAAGGCAGCTCGAGCGAGGCGGCACCTCTTTGACCTGTCCCGTGGGGTCGAAGCGAATCTGCAGCTGCGAGGAGGGATACCGGCTCGCAAAGTCCTGGCGCCAACGAAGGTGAACCAGTTTGCAAGAAAGGGGCCGGCGCGGACAAGGAGATGGACGGACGGGCCAAGGTTTCGGGAGAACACGTGGTGAAACGGGTCCACTTGAACAAGAACTTGGGAAGAAGGGTGAGGAAGAGCGAAGGAGCTTTCGAGGGAGATCGAGGGGTGAAACGGGTCCATGGTCAAGGTGCTCTCCAGGCACTGTCTGATTGCTGAATCTGATTACGTCAACGACTCTGGGAACTGAATGGAACTGAGGAGTAACGACCAAAGCTGGCAGTTTTGGAAGCATCCGCCGCACTTCACGCTGCTGTTGCCGAAATGGCTAAGGTGATCGGCATGATCACTTCTACGAAGGTCCTCTCTCTACTTCCAAACCACCCATTTCCAGGGAATTCTGGTATGTTTACATTATACATATTTTATAAATATATAGAAACTCCAATCCCATCCAATCCCACTAGCCGCAAAGTGATGCCAAAAGCATGGCTGCGGCCCTCTCCCCCCGTGTACGGCGCGCACACGCGCGCGCGCTTGTTTACGGCCCAGGCCTCTAAGTAGGGCGTTCCTTTCACTCGGTGCGCACGCACTGGATGAGGGCAGAGGAAGGCGCGGACATCATGTGTCCTGGCGGCGTCCAAGACAAGACCTCTTCAAGGCCACCAGTTTCATAGTGGAAATGGTAATGTGGGTTTGGGGGGTCTAACCACCTTCTCAGGAGGTGGTTGGAGCCCTAGGGAATGTTCCTCAAACACACCACGAAAGCGAAGCATCAGGATCAACACTCTTTACGATTCTTCTGGAGCCATTAGAGCTTGATGCCTCTGGGGATCACTCATTTTCTTAGAGCTTGATGCGCTTTGTATGCTGCTTGTTCATATCTCCACTTACCTCAGGGTTCAGAGAGCTGTGGGTCTACCAATCAGTGGGAAGTTCCCACCTTTGGGTCCAAACAGGCCTTGGTCCCTCAAAACCTTGGGGTTTGGAGGGTCTGGATCCCTTGAATTTTCAGGAACCGGCCCCTGCTAATTAGGAGGGTCCAGGGTCGCGTGGTGGGGCAGTTACCGCCCCCCCACTCTTAGCCAATCAATCGGTCAGCGGACCATCTAGTCCCATCCAGCCTGTCACCTTTGAACCGAAATGACACAGAATCTACTCTCCGGGGCATTCACAAGGCAGTGGAGTTCACCACCACCTGTTGGTAGAGAAAAACGGTCTTCCAAAAGGCCCATGTTCCGCTTCCAGATTCGTGAGTCAGAATCGGTTCTTGAGTTCGTGATGCAGACTGAGATCCCGGGCACCAGGATCTAGTGAAGAGTCACTGGCTGGGACGCTCAAGTTCGGTCGATAGGTCATGAAGTGAAGAAGCTGGTACGTCCCCCAAGGCCACTATGTCACCATGGACCCCCCTGATTCTCCAGGTATACCTAGATGAAGATATACCTTCGAACCCCGACCACTGAAGAGGAAAAAGAACGTCCCCTCCTCTTTTCGTACCTCCGGAATCCCCCTCCATGACTCGAACCGGTCCCCCTCCACGATACGTCGCCTGAAGTATTGGCAGATGCCCTCCGAGACCTTCAGCAAGATGTCGTCCGTGGGCACGAAGCGCATCTTCGTCACCTCGCACGGGCGCCGCAGGACGGCGCTCAGAAGGCGACCGCGGAAAGCGCGGACCACCAGGAAAGCGGTGGTGGGCGACAGGATCACGCTGCACTGCTGTATTTGATGGCCATCGGCGATGGATGTGAAGAGATGCGGGTAGGAGGCTGCACTGCATTTATGAATTCAATACATGTCCATGGTCACTTGTGGCAATTGCAGACTCCAGATCTGCTGTACAAATGAGTGGAGTTCACCCAAGACAATGCTGCGATCCAACCGTTGAAAGAGCTGTGTTTTCAACCATCTTCCACACTTCTGTCAATCCCATTCCCCAAGAAAGGGAACACCCACAACCGTTTCGGAGGATTCCCCGCCTTCCGGCTTGAATCGTGGCACCTTCCATCGGTACGGTCCGGTCGCTCCCCCGGAACTTGGAACCCCACCGCCTCAGGATTGCTTTCAGCGAGGTTGCGCAGGGCCTCCCGGACGTGTCGTCGCGGACGTGGGCCGACACGTAGGCCGGAGCGGTGGACAGACGACGGTGGAAGGGGGCCTATCGTGGTGCCCTATCGTGGTGCCCTTCCTGGCGGGGTTGGAATGGCCCTATCAATGTAGGTTCCCCAACGGACAAATCGGAAGACGGCCGCCCAAAGCCACAGGCGTGCAAGGAAGAGTCCAGGTCTGCCGGGGCTTTGTGACATTCTCTGGGTCGTGGATGGTGTCATTCAGGGACTCTTTGGGAGGTTGTCCGGATTCTTAGGGCCCCGAAGCAACACAGATAGGGTGTGGTTGAAACCACCCGGACACCCGCGAAACTGTCCACCCCGAACCCCTGGCCCCTGGCCCTCCATCGGATTCTTGGGGTCATGCACCTGCACCATTCCAGCACCGACTGAATTGTCCGGTCACCAATTGAAACCTGTATTCGGGCCTTTCCCAACCCTCCAAACAAAGGAGACCTGTTGGGTTCGGTGCTGCTTGTTGGGGTCATATGTGGATCCACACGATCCGTGGCTTGGCGTTCATTCGTTCCTTCTAGCGAGCACCGCCGTAGGTCGGTCGGCCTAACGGGTCCGGGGTGACACTGGTCGGTTCGGTCGGGGGTGAATGGGAGGATGCCTTCCACTCAACGCAGCCTGTGTGAGAAAGGCACCAGACACACATAGATCTGAAGCAACTGCTATAGATGTTGGTCCCAAAAGTCGAAACCCTATCGAACTGAGTGTCTAATGAGCCTTCGGGTGGAGGTGTTTCCAAGCTTCCATGATGGTACCGTAGCTACTTGCCGATGAACAAAATGCAATGTTTTAGAAGGTGTGGCGCAGGTTGGCAGACATTCAAACTGTAGAACTGCACTTCGTTGATAAAAGGAAAAATACATAACAAGTGATAAATATAGAGAACCACACAATCTCGAAAGCATCCAGCAAAACCTGGTGCAGAAAATCCATGTTGCGAAGGGCCTCCCCAACTCCCGGTGTGGTGCGTTCTTTGCAGGGATCGATTTTCCCTAAGCCCTAGAGGCCCTAGAGGTCTGGAACTGACCTCATTGACCTCATCTTACTGGAGTTCAGCATACAAAAACACGATACTCAATCCGGTTTTGTCCGGAACCACGAGACTGGGCCTGGGTCAGGACCTGGGTCAGGTTTCTCCATGTGCAACTGGAGCCCTGGGCCCTCATCACAAAGAACATTCATCTGATTCTGCAACTTCCCCAACATCGATGGCCACTTCCTTCCCATCCTGCCCATCCTCCTGCCCACCCATGGCGCGTCGTGCGGGGCTTCGGTCGAAACGCCTGGAGCACAAAGGTGGGCGGTGCTCGAAAGTACACGAAGGCGCCACCCTCCTTCTCCCGCGGCACCATGCGTGTCACCTGGCTGCAGTGGCACCCGAAGAAACCCGGCTGACTGCGCTTCGGGTCGAATGGAACATTCCTCGTCTGTTCGGGAAGTCCACCGAGCTCCTCCCCGAGCTCCCCGGTGGAGGTGCGATGACCCCACGGGTCACCTCACCCTCCCCGAGGCGCTCCACTTCTCCTCTGGGTGTCGCAGGGATCGGACATCCGTCCCAGGGCCGGAGCTCGGACGGGTCGGAGGCCGCCAAGGTCCCGGGTGCATCGAGGGCTTCAGGGATGAACGGGGTGAACGAGGTGGCAGAAGAAGTGGTGTTCGCAGCCACTGGTTGCCGAGCAAATGGAACTGTTGATGACCCTTGGAACCCCGGAAGGTACATTCCGAGGGGTCCAGACCAGGACAATCTGATAATGGGATGTGATGAGAACATTCTGTGAACTTCTTACTCTGGTCACCTCTGGTCCTTGGTATATTCTACAAGGTATGAATCTAGACTGCTGGTGTCTGCTTCGCTTCTTCCAACCCGGCCACTGCCCTGGGGGCGAGCCGGTGCCTCCACACCATCTGGCAACAACTGTGGGATGAGGGTCCTGAGCAGGAGGCTAAGCTTGCCGTGCAGCATGCGGGTCAGCATGCACTAAGCAGGCTAAGCAGTCGACCACCAGAGAAAACCAGCCACCTGCGACTCACAGGCCCCTCGGTCATGTGATTTGTATATGGACTAGAATTGAAGTTGGGAGTACGTATACCGCATACCACTGTTGTGTAAACTACACCAAAGTGGCACGGTGTCTACCTGGTTGTTCATCCAAAACACGACAAGACAGTTCGGTTTGTTAGTTACTGTTAGTTGTGAAACCGTTCCTGAGGAGACTGACAGCCCAATCTGGGTTGGGTCTTTCTCAATCAAACCTGAAAAAGGAGATGACGCCACTCGAGCAGTCGGGCCGGGCCAATCGAGGAGTCGGTCCGACCGAGGCCGTGAAGCCTTCACGCACCGACCAAAATAGATCCCCGATCACCACTCACCTACAGCGACCCATCCGAGCCATCCGGAGGCCATTTCCATGGAAGGCCTTTTCCATGCCCACGTATACCTTGGACCTCAAAGAGGGTCCCGAACGGCGGCCCTTCGATGTTGACGTCACCCAAGGGGCTCATGGTTGTGGCGCGTCAACATGTGGCGCATGTCGAAGCGGAAGGCTTTGGTGGGATACCTCACCATCTCACTCTGCAACACATCACCCCTTGTCTCTGGGAGCAAATAGGATCAGTTTCAAGTTCAAGGATGCAGGTATTCAGAGCTCTGCAAAAAAAGGAGAGCTGGGGGCTGTGGTAGTGCACGTGTTTCATGTGTTTTATCTGTTTCTACCTCATTACATGGGTATGCAATTTGTACAAAAAAATAACAAGGAAAGGACCCATATGATACTACAAGTCGTCATTGTTTGGCAAGCCATTTTCCAAGAAATTGACCATATGGTTTTTAAAATGTAGTTTAACTGCAAAATGTGCGCGCTGACCGCGTCCTGCCCTGGAGAGCTTTTTCTTATTGGTCATATGCGTCTACTCTATGTCATGTGAAAAAATACGTGGAACAGCTCAACTGGCTTATAGTTATGCTCTGCAAACTCATGTTGAGTAATACGATGTGCTTCATTAATGTTGATCTCATCGAAGAAAGTTTTAAGAATATAGTATTGCTCTTGTAAAGTACAGCAATTGGGAATCTTCATCATCTACCATACATCGAGTAGGAGAGTCCTCAACCGTTCATGATTCATGACATGCGTCTATTGCAAAGGATAAAGACATAGTGACATTCCTATGACATGTTCTCTTTCATTAGCTCTAAACTTCCAGGAAGAGGACCAAAAAAAGAACGATGGAATGGCCTATTTCAAGAGTGTTTGCCACTGAAATTGTAGGTTTTACACTTCTACATGACTTAGACCTTTCCTTGGGAAAGTTGTATGTCACTTCAGCCAACCTGGCCTAAGTCATCTGACCTGAAAATATATATATAATCTATACGATTATTGTTTAAAGTATATAGTTATAAATTTGCAAGAACTATAATTTAGAAGAAGTATCACTGATAGAAATCAAAATGTTCTATATTACAAACTATAATTGAAATACTATTGTGCTCAGGATTGTGGTATTTAGGTAAAAACACTGTAAACAAATAAAGCTCTTGTATGTCTATTCAAGAATCCAAAAATACAATCTCAAAAGATCTTAATCAAATATATAATTCTATTCTAGTTTGTTATAGCCACTACCATGTAAAGTGAATAGTATTCTCAGAAATGAGTCATTCTATGCACTTTGTTGCTTCCATGCTTCTTTCAAGCTATAGGCTATAGTACATGAACCCCATCCTTAACCAATCTTTTGATAAACAATCAAATAGATCGATAGGTGTTATCTAAGAAGGTTCTTAGCGGCAAAGGGGTGAACCTTAACTACAGCCTACCTTCGCAATATCATCTGTAAAAATTGAATGTTTGATGTTGCTTCTTCTTAAACCGTGGTGAAGTTCTGCAATACAGTTGTAAATGTGTGTGTGTTATGTCATTATTAACTGAACCCTTTGCGCTGTCAAATTTGTTGATATGTTTCCCCTATGAAAGTCCAATGTAAAGCCATAACTGCAGCAGTTACAGTGACTTTTACGATTACCTACAAACCGTTGAGTATCACTATGCCCTTCTTTAGCAAAAACAAAAAGACACCGTCAATGTCTGAGGGGCAAATCCCGAGACATGGACTTGTTGTTTTTCTTGGTCCCCTTGGCCCGAGTCTGAAGAAAAAAGCTCCAAGGTCAAAAGAACGAAACCAATGCCCAGGATCAGCACCACCCGCGAGAGACGTCACGTCGGGTGGCTGGAAGGAGAGACGTTGGGGTGCCGAACTTGGAGAAGCTCAGCGGTGCCATCCCAACAGGGAACTCCGGTCTTTGGGTCGTACCTTGTGAAACCCGACAGCCTCTGCGCGGGTCTTTGCCGGGAGTTTGGCTATGATCTTCCCCCACTGCAACTGGAACTATGGGCCGCAAGTTGTGGCCTCCAGTTACCCCTGGAAGCTTCAAACGCGCCCTCCGATCGACCCGAAAAACCTGGGCTCGAACAGGCCACCGGCCTGATGGTCCACCAAGCAAGGGAAGCACCAAAAAAGTGGTCCTCCTGGAAAATGGGCTCTCTTCCAACCAACCCAAAGGGCCAGAAGTGAACGGGTTTGGGCCGCCAAACAAGTCCAAGATAGTCTAAGTGCCCTGTCCAAAAAAGAAACTTTATATATATATATATATGTATGTATAGAGAGAGAGAGAGATCCTCCCCAAAGGCTCATAGGACCTTCATATAGCTTTTGGGTCTTGACCCTCACAACTAGGGTTTTGAACCTCAAATATGTAGCAGTTGGCTTCGGGTGCCGTGCCGGGTCGCCTCTGACGTTCAAGCTGGAAGCTGGCTCCTCCTCACCCTCCTCTCCTGAAAACGCCTCGGCGTGGACGCGCCCAAGACACCCCGCTCGCCAAGACACACGTTGGCCACCCACAAGACGCCGCGCGCCGAAGAGACCTTCTCCGGCTTCTCCTCCACTTCATCGGACTCCTGGAGCGGAAGGCCGTTCGAGTCCGGCCACGAGTGAAGTGACGGGCTGACTCCAAACGGGTCGGTGGGGCGGACGGGCCGGGAAACGGTCGGCGCCATCCCGGACTGGGCGAGATGTGGGACTGGGCGACCGGGTTTTTTTCCCGGTGGAGGCTCCTGGCCCACTACAGCTCTAACCACCTTCTGAGGATGTGGGCCAGGAGCCTAAGGGTTGGTTCGCGGTCAACGCAGATGTCAAGGGAGGAGCACCAGAAACGTGGCCGGTTTGTTCGCGGGGTTTTGGGGAGAGGAAGCCAGTTCTTGGTCAGGAACGGACCTCAGACTTGACTGGAGGTTGGTCATCTACTTGCACACTCCAACATATTTTCCAACTACTCGTCTTCTGAGGTGTTTAGGAGTCCTGACAGGTCGGACCTGGAGTAGGGAAAGCCAGGTGGACATGGTGTGCGTTCTGCGTTCGGTTCCATTGGGTTTCATGGGTTCCGTGGCTTTACACCAAACCGCCAAACCGCTTGTCTTCATACTGGGACCGGCACTGGGACTGGCTGGGGGCCTCACCGGTGAACCCTATCCACCTCCTCGCAACAAAGACAGACACAAAAACTCACAACAGGTGTCTGTGTGTGTGTAGGTCACTCACGATCTTCACGAAGACGTTCCCTCCAAGTGCCACTTGGGGGCGACCCAACTAAACCCCAGAAGTCCAGTTCGACTATATGTTGCCCGCCACTGAAGTAAAGGAAGATCCTAGACTCGGGTCACCTAGTCAACACACAGGAATCTTCCATTCTTTTTCCATATTTTTTTGCCATCTCCACCTGGCCACCCCCTCCTATGTTGCTTGCTTCCTTTCTCTCACGCACGCCAAACACCGCCCGTACCGACACACCATGGTGCCCGTCCGACACATCACGGTGTGACACGTGGTACGACCGTACCTGTCACGTGGCAAAGCAGCTCGGTGGGTGGACCACCGGAGCGCTCGGTGAGTTCTCCCGCCCTTCGGCGCTCAAGATCAGGCCCTTCAAGTCGAGGCGCAGCAAAGTGGTGGGCAAAGTCCCATCCTTCAGCAAGCTTTGGTTGAAATGTTGTCCCAAGGTCAGGGATTTCAAGTTGCTGGGCCATACCACCTGCTCCAAGCTTTGGTCAAAATCATCTCCAAACGTCAGACTTTGAAGGTGCTCAGGAAAAGTCACTTGCTCCAGACTCTGGTTGAATTCGTTGCCAAAGGTCAAGTGCTGAAGGTTGCTAGGCAAGGTGACTCCATTCAAGCTTTGGTTGAAATAATTGTCAAAAGTCAAGCTCTGAAGGCTATGGGGCAAATTCACTCCATCCAGGCTCTGGTCGAAGCGATGCCCAAACGTCAAGCTCTCCAACGTGTCGGGCAATGTCAC